ATATCATTATATATTATCATATATATATAACTTCTATAAATTTATTTGGTTAAATGACATCTGTAATGTAATTTGTAATTTGATATCAAATTCTATTAAACACCAAATATAAGCAAATTGGTTCATAATAATAATTAAATTGTAATTTTTTGTGTGTACTTAAGTTGAATTTAAATAACTTTAGATATTATCAAAATGAAATTACGGTTTAATCAAATATATTTTATTCAGATGAAAAATATTTAAGAGTAAATTAAATGATAAATAGAATTATTTCTATGATAATTATTTTTTTTCTTAAAAAAACTTATTGAATGAAATCATATTTAAATAAAGTACATTAATTTTGAATCATGAAGAAGTTGAATAATTTCTTTTAAGATAAACAGTCTTGATAGGTCTATATTTTATGTTATTTTTTTCCTGCAAATTTGAACCTTCAGCCGCAATGGATTTCAATTATGGTTACTAGATATTTTATTATTGATCATTGATTGAAGTATTTAGTTCTTTTAACAATTCTCTTCTGCTATTTTTAATTTTACGCTAAAAGTTCTTTACTGCTTAATTATTTATCATCAATTTTGATGTATGCTTTGGCTGGTTCGTTTTTGTAGTTTATTTTAATTATTTTTCTTCATATTTAATGGTAGATTAATAATACTTTTCCATCAAAATTAAAGAAATGTTATTTTCGGATTCCTTTTTACTACTTAATACTCTTTCTCTTGAAACTTTCACTATAGGCACATCCATCAATTTGGCCTCCTATATACTTAATCTACTTTTAACTGATTCCAATATTTGCATGGAAAATCTATTTTAAGAGCTAATGGGTTGTTCCTTATTAGATATCCTATTTTAAGAATGCTATTGTGGTTATTTAACTTTAGGGTGAATCTAATATTTTTGAGATTTGCTTCGTTATTTATCAGCCATCTTTTTTTTTTGTGAATGACTTAAATATGGAATCTTTTCTAATTCAAATATTTTGATCTTCTCTTTTAATACATCTAATGCTTTGCTTCCAAGACTTTCCTCAGGTTCTGTTTTACATAATGCACTGCTTGAATAAATTAATGAATTCTGCATAAAAAATAAAATAAATATTATTAATATACAAAGTTTTTTTACTCAAAAAATTTACTTTATTGTTCTTTCAAGTTATTCTGTATTTTTACCGTGAGTTGACAATAAATTTATCAATCTTTATAGAGATCTTCTCATTCTATCAGAAGATAAATGTTCCTTCTTGAAAAACTATTAATTTTCCTTCTGGTATTGTTCCCTGATTGTCATTTCCTATGATTAAATCAAATAAAATACCGATTCGATATTATTAGTTATTTTTTATAATTAATCCAAGGGTAATTGGGTTAGCAACTAGAAGTAACTGCCAAGTTCGAAATCTGGAACTTCTTTAATATTTAAACTGGATATCAGATAGAGTAAGTGAGCTTTGGGTACTACATAACTCCATTTCAAGTGCATTTCAAATAGAATTACAATAATTATCTTTGATGAAAACGATTATTATTGCACTCTCTATTATAACACTTATATGATATCTTCTGCCATCAATTTCTGATAATCCCCAAGTTAAGTTAAATTAAATACAAAAGATTGTAAAGCTAGATCACTAAATGCAGAAACACCAGTACTTTTAATCCTATTCAATAAGGATGATATTATAAGACTTATCTCTAACTTTAGAAATTAATCCTTTAGTTTTAATAAGGCAGTAAGTAATATTGTGGATTCTTTGGGAGTCATATTTGAAAAATCTAAATTTTCAGCAAAGTTAGAAATTAATAACTTATAGTAAGTTTTATAGAATTCAATAATTTATCCTAGATATGTTGCTTCTTATTCTAATTCTATATAGAAGAGTCCTTTGAATAAGAATGATATTTAGGAAAACATACAACCAGATATTTTATACTCTGGTTTATATTGTGCAATTGCATTTTTAATGAGTTCTTACCATTTTTTTATGAAGGCTTCATTTTTTGTTAAATTGTTATATCTTAAGAGAGCTTGACCAAAAATATATAGTAATTAAACTTAAAATGTAAAATTATATTATGTAATTCCTTACATAGTAAATTAATTAATAAAGAGTTCCATTAGCTATTCATTAATAAACCCTTATAAACAGGCTTAATTAATGATTGAGATGATATCCTCATTAAAGGAATCTAATTTATTTAGTATAATTTAAGCTAAACATTATTTATTGGTTCTTGACAAGAAAAAGTTATTTTAATGTATTTTATCTAAAAGTTCTATCAATTAACTTATTTCTACATCATTTACATTCAAATAAGAGGCCAAAGATGTATTAAATTGAAGACTGTTGGAACAAAAAATGTCATCAATTAAATATTAAAATTTGTTAATGGTAATTTTGGGAGATTCAAATTCACTCATTTCATAGTTGGCAAAAAAGTGGTCTAATTTCCCATATGAATATCTGGTTTAATTTTTGGTCATCATTTTGAACATTCGAATTGTTGTTCTGGTTAATGATGAAGCCTTATTAATCATCAATAATTTAATTAACCAGAATTAAACTGAATAACAATTAATATTCAAAGAATTTTTTTAATATAATTTAATAATCTAGTATGCAGATTGTTGCTAAAATATAATTATTATTTTAATTTATGAATAAAAATAAAGAATCTGGAAAACAAGTTTAAAATAACAAAGTAAATGATTCTAATTCAAATAAAAATAAAGAATTATAAAAGCTTGTTTAAAATAATAAGCATTTTGAATTTTTATCAAGTGGAAAAATTAAATGCATTTTAACTCATCATGAAATCCTACCAACTTTACAAGAATTTAACAATTATCTTAATGGTAGAAGCTATAAGAATGCATTAGAAAATGATATTGAATTTACATAATTTGAACCATATATTGTCTAGCATAAAACTGATAAGTAATATTAATTCATAAAAATTTAGAAATAAATTATATTGTAATTTGACCAGATAAAATATTAGTAAAAAGAAATCTGTTGTTCTCAAACATGTAAATGGAAAGAGATACAAATATTATTTATCCAGTAATTCAATTATATCTATAAATTCTTAGAGTACTTAGAGGAATAAGCTAAAGAAGAACAATAAAATTAACGAGATAATTAAGAAGATGAAGATGACATTTAAAATGAATTAGAAGAATTGAATAACTTAATAAATGAGGAAGTGGAGGAAGAATAGCCATAGAAATAAAAAAGTGGCATTCTAAAGGGAGGAAAGAAAATAAATAAAAAGAAAGTTAAACCATAATAAGAAGAATAAATAGAAATTGAATAAACAGTATAAACTAAATAGAAGAAACAATAGTAAGATGGAAAATTATAGAAAAAGTTAAAAAATAAATAATAAAAAGCATAAGTAGAATGAAAATACAATGACTTTATTATGTATAATATCAATGTAATCTAAAAACATTATTAAAAAATCATGATAATTATTCTTCTTAGCCTTCTTTTCTTTTTTATTTAGATTTTACTTTTTTCTTTTGAAGATCCAAGAATTTTTCAGTTGTACCATCCTATTACATTTTCTAATGAAAATAATATGATATATAAATACAATTTTAATTGTTTTAATAGCTTTTGTAACCGCAGTCATATTTGAAAGTACTTTTTCTTCATTAAATTTTATTTCTTCCATTTTTTAATTAATCAAATTTTCTATTGCTAACACTCTTTCTACATCAAATTAAGTCATCATTGTTATTGCAGTGCCTCTAAGAGAAGTAGAAATTATTTAATATACCTTCTACCAGCTCTTCCTGTTCTACCTACTCTATGGACGTAATCTGCTTCTACTTTAGGTACATTCCAATTAATAACAAATTTAACATTTGGTATATCAAGTCCTCTTGATGCTACATCAGTTGCTACCAATACTTAAGTCTTTTATGATCTATAAGCTCTTAAATTGCTTATTCTTTCATGTTAAGGTAACATAGAATGTAAACATGTTGATTTAATTTCAAAATGATTAAGTAATTCATTTAAGTCATGACATTTTCTACATGTAGGAGCAAATACAATTGTAGATGCTCCTTCCAATTTTTTCATCAGATGAATGAAATAATAATCTTTAACTAAATCAGGCATCAATATAAATTTGTGTTTAATAGTCTCTGATACCTTTTATTCTGGATTATTGATGCAATCAACAAAATTAACATCATTAAATTCATTTTTCAACTACTAAGTCACATTATTAAGAGTAGCTGATACTAATGCTATTTAAGGAGATTCGCATTATTCATATACTTTTTTAATATCATCCCAAATTTGAGGTTCCAATAATCTATCTACTTCATCCAATATGAAATATTTAACATTTTTAATATATTTCTAAAAATTAGCATCAATGCTTAGTAATTCTGAACATCTTCCAGGTGTTCCAATTATTATATGTGGGATTTATCCTAATTGCTTTACTTATTTTGAAGAGGAAAGACCTCCTATTAATAAAGCCAATCTCAAATTTACACTAGCACCAAATATTTATATTTATTCAGCTATTTATACTGCCAGTTCTCTACTTGCAGTCAATATAATTGCAAAAATCCCATATGGATCTTGACTTAATTTTTAAAGAATTGGAAATGAGAATGCAGCTGTTTTTCCAGTACCTGTTTGAGATGAAACTATAAATAATTCCTGGATTGTTACTCAATAAATTCTTTCCTTATAATAAAGGAGGGATACTTAAAATTTAAATAGGTCTTGGTTCTTTATAATCAATCTTCCAACATAATTTCAATAACCATTAATCTAATCCTAATTCTTCAAATTTTTGATATTCACCACTATTCATTTTTAATTACTATAATTTTTAATGATTAATAATCACCCTTGTACATTATAATCAGAATGTGTTTCACTCTATAATTGCATAGATGGAATATGCACTCATAAGAACTTCTTTCCTCCCACCTTTTCTGAATCAATAGGTATGCTTAGCATAGCCATTTTTACAGGATTTGCATCCCTAGCAGGTATAACAATGAATGACAACATATATTAGGGATTGGAGGAGGTGGTGTCGTAGTTTCTTTAATGACTATGTTTTTTAACTATTCATAGAAAGAAGCTTTGTTGGGAGTCTTTTTACCTATTTTTGGAGCTGCTTTAGGAAATTTCCTAAATCTCGCTTAGCAATTAGATCCGTAAACTAAAACTCCAGTTGTTAAGATGAGAAGTGCCATAGTAGCTTGTCCTGCAATGATAATAGGTAGTATGGTAGGTCTTATTCTTAATAAGATACTACCTGCATTCTTTTTAATATCTATTTTGCAATACTTTTTATTTCTTTCATGTTAAAAGTTTTATAAAACTGCTCTTAAGGAATGGAATAATGAAAATCAACGAAAATTAAATTAGAATTCAGTAGAAATACCTATACTTAATAAATTATCTGAAGAAAAGCAATTACCTCTGCAGAATACTTCATTAAAAGAGAATTTGGATCTTATTGTAGCTATCTGTGTCATTGTTATAACTGTACTTTTAGGGTTTTTTCTTAGAGGATCTGCAAATTTTTAATCAATTATTGGAATATCTTATTGTGGATTCTTTTATTGGATGATCACATTTGGTTTGGTTGTCATATTATATTATTATTTTGATTACATCTTTGATAGATTTTAAAAAGAAGAGTTAAAACCATTAAAAAAAGAATGTTTAAGAGATTCATTTAAAGCTGGTATATTCAATGGATTTGGTTTAGGAGGTGGGATGATTTTGATACCTATGTATTTGGGAATGGGGTTTACAACAATTCAAAGTACAGGAACATCATCATTTAATGTTTTACTAAGTTCATTTTAAGTTGCAGCGCAAGTGATTATTTTAGGTTATATGGGGACTCTTTAAGCATTTTCCTTGTTTACAATGACTGTTATTGGATGCTATTTCTCAAGCTCATTCATTTTTAATAATTTAAAGAAAAGAGATAGATTATCATTGATTATGTGGGGATTAGTAGGGTTTGTTATTTTTGCAATGGTTAATTTGGCAATATAATTTCTTTAGAAGTGGTCTCATAATGGTTATTAAATATTTGAATTATTTGCATTCTAAAGTATTTGTTGAATATTTAATATACTATTTTATAATAATATATGAGTCTATAATTTTGAAAATCTAAAATTCAATTAGTGTTTTATTATGATGTTATTTATAATATATCATAATTATTCTCATTACAGAGAGAGTTAAAGCTGATTTTCTAGATTTATTGATAAATTTATTAATTAATATTTCTAAAATATTTTAATTGATTAGAATAACTAAAAAATTAACAAAGTAAATTTTTATATAATAATTATATCAATAAAAATACTAATTACTTATTTGAATACTAAAGTAGCATTTCTATAAAATATAGATTTTTACTAAGAAATTAACTCATTCCTAATTTTTGAACAATTATTCTATTTGAAATTATATTTGGATCTGAAGGAAAAAATTAAGAATTATATTGTTTATTTCATAAATCACCATAAATAAAATTTTGTTAGATTAATAAAATCATCGAATGTTTGAGTTTCTTGCTAACATAATATAAGAAAAATTATAAAACAATAAAATGAAAAGATTATTAATTAATTTTAGTTATTAAATAAAATTGTTTGAATTTTATTCAATTTTTAGAAAGGTTACCTATTAATTCAATGTTATCTTACCAACCATAGAGATGTTATCTAAATTTAAAAGCTATTCAAAACATTTATCTTTAATTTGTATATATATCTAAATTTGCATATATTATAAATAGTTAATTATAAAAAATGAACAGATTCTGTGATTATAAATCTTGTCAATACTTCATTAAATAACCTACAATAGAATAAAGATCTAAATTGAATAAGGTCATGTGTCCATTATGTATGGGTGCCAACTATTGTAGTACTAGATGCAGAGATCTTGATTGGTAAATTATTATATTATATTAATAAGGCCAATATATCATAAAGATATTTGCAAAAAGTCATAGCCAGATAGAGCACGATCTTGTAATGATACTATTGATTCTTGTTCAACAACAAGTGTGAGAAGAAAGCCAGAAGAGTTTGAAATAATAATGATTGGGAGTAAGTAAGAGTTAGGTAGAGGATCATATGGTTCAGTTAAATTAGTCAAAGACAAATAGAATGGCTTATTGTATGCAATGAAAATTGTAAGAATGTGATTGAAATTTGTAGATGAATAAGAGATAAGTTTTTGAATATTGTTCAGTAGAAAACTTGAAAAGGGAGATAAAAATACAACGTAAATTGGTTCATCCTCATATTTGCAAATTATATCATTATTTTGAAGATAAGGAAAATGTTTATTTGATACTTGAATATGCATGTATTATGTTTATTAAATAGAAAATGGATCTGTTTTTAATTACATAAAAAAACGATCAAAATTACCTGAAAATGAAGCATTTGTTTATTTCTTCTAAACATGTTTGGGCATAGATTATCTACATAAAAATAAGATTATCCATAGAGATTTAAAACCAGAAAATTTACTATTGGATCATGATGGTAATGTGAAAATATGTGATTTTGGTTGGAGTGCTGAAAGTTTAACAGAGAAAAGAATGACTTTTTGTGGAACATATGAATATATGGTATATTCATTTATTTAAATATCTAGGCACCTGAAATGTTAAATAAGCAACCACATGATTTCAGTTTAGATGTTTGGAGTTTGGGTATATTATTATATGAATTATTGCATGGAAATGCACCATATAGAGGAAAGAACAATGAAGAATTAGGAAATAAAATAAAATCTGGATAACCTATCAATTTTGCATCGACATTATCTAATGAAGTTATTACACTTATTAAAGGAATCTTAAAATATATTCCTGGAGAACGTTTAACAATGGCCTAAATTTTTGATCATCCATGGATGGTTAAACATGCTGCTAGTTATAAAATTGACATTTGGACTTTTGTTTATAAAACTTAATATCCAACAAGATAAATTCCAACTGCCAATTTCCAATAGAAATAAAAAACAATTGAGATTTAAAAAAAAGAAACATTATCTAGACCTATTTCATAAGATTACAATAAATTAAAAGAATAATCTATAAATAATAATAATACTATAGATTATAAGGCTTATTAGAATGAGTACAATAATATTAATAAATAAGAAGATTTTAATAAACCTAGAATTAGTAGAGTATCAAATAGAAATGAAATTATGATGCATCAACATTAATTATAATAATAATAATAAGAAGAGAAGTTAACTTTTATGGACAGAGTGTTTCTAGCATTTGGATGTTTAAATAGAGAGAAAAAATGATTAATTTTTTAATACTTTATTTTATTTTAGTTAAAATAATTTAAAGTAACTAGAAAATGAGCAAAGTATATGAACTTTACATTCACTCACTTGTTAAACAATAACATAGTCCTATGATATCCACAATATCTAAGTATGAACCATCAGGTTTCAAGGATGACAATAATCCATTGTGTATGGCCAATAAAGTTAGAGTTATGAGATACAGATCAGATAAATTATTATTACCAGATACCATTCTTTAAAATTATATTAACCTATTTAAATACAATAGATAATTGTTTATACTATTTCTAAGATAATTAACATCACCTATATAGGAAGTTGAATTATAAGATTAATAATAGATAGAGAATATTATATAATAAATTGAATTAGATAGTATACTAATAGAATAATTGAATTTATGGTCTAATATCTTTCAACTCACTCATCAATAATTACAATCCTTGTTTTTATTTTAAAACATGAATGATTATTTGAATTTCCTTTAAGATTTCTTATTAAACTAATTACAAAGGATATAGAATATTGATTTATCTCATAATAATATAGATGATGAGAGTGTTAAAATTGAATAAACTCAAATCATATAAGTAAATGATATGTATGAAAATCACTACAAACTAAGTAGTAAAAAGAAACTTGTATCTTTTACTCATAGAAATGAATTGAGTGAATCTGATTAAAATTAAATAATAAAAATAATACAAAAAAAGAAATTAGCTTCTATTAGAGATATTTTTAATACAATTATTAAATAATTTGATCTTAAGCCAAAAATATAATATACTGAATAAAATTTATAATGGATATGCTAAATTGATATCAAAGAAATTTAATCTAAATAAAGTTCTTAGAATAAAAGTTAATCTTTAATATGCTCATAGATACATAGTATTAAATAATTGTGTCCAATTATATTTGATTATATAATTGAAAATTCAAATGAAAATATTGATTAAATAAAAACCAATAAGGGTATTTTAAATTTAGTAATACCTGTATAAAAAATAAATAAATTAATACCAGAAGAAGATTATTTACAATAATTACCATATAATTATGAAATGATTGAAAATTATATTGAGAATAAAAATAATAATGAAACATGTTCAATTAGAAAATTACAGAATGAAGTTATCAACTATTTAATAAAAAAATATAATTAATTTTCAATTAACAAATAATTGTAAAGTATAGCTTAGAATTATGAATTAAATATTACATTTATGTAAAATGGTTAATTGTAATCTATTTAAAAGTATGATTAATTATAAATTTTAGAACATTTACTACAAAATAACGATTCTGTAATGCTAGATTGATTGGATAATAATATATTATTAATGTTATTGGAAATTTGATTTTTGGGGATGAGAGATCAAAAGAATTTGATAATATTAATTAATTTTTGTTATAAATCTAATGAATGATGGAGATTAGTATGTTTTGAATAATAATTGATGTTTGGTGTATATAAGGAATATAATAATAAATAAAATGTAAATTAAATAAAATGTAATCCAAAGTTTGATTAACTAAAATAGTGCAATAGAAAATTTAGTATAAAAGGAAGGTTTGCAATTGATAGGTACAAGTCGATTTAATTTAGGTGATTAATCATATGGATAACTAAATGATTCAGAATATAATAAGAAGAAAACGTAAATCATTTTATTGAAAGACTAATAATACATTGATGCAGAATAATTAAAAAGATTAGAAGAACACAATGAGGATTAATTGAATTAGCAATAGAAATGGATTATTTTGTTATTATTTAAAATTATAAGACCAGAAGAACCGAAAAAGATTATATGGGATTTGATTGGAATGTCATTCATATTTATTTAAATGATAACAATCCCACTAATATTGACATTTAGTTTTGAAATATCAGGTGGTTTCGCTATATTTAATGATATAATGGACTACTATTTCTTAATTGACATTTTATTGTAATTTTAAACTGGTTATTATGAAGGGTATTTATGAGTATATATATAAATTTTTAGAGGTTATTTTGTAAGTTAGAGAAGGTAGATTGCATTAAATTACTTAAAATTATGGTTTTGGTTAGATTTAATATCATCATTTCCATATGATGATATGCTTTCATTATTTATAGATGAATCAAATTCATAATCATTGAAACGGAATACATAAATAATAAAAATTATGAGAATTGTTAGATTCATTAAGGTTATTAGATTAATGAGAGCTTTAAAATTAAAGAAAATAATAAATTAAATAGAAGATACTTTATTTTAAGATAAAACAATCATTTCAATAATATCTTTCTTTAAGATTTGTTTAATAATATTAAGTTTATCTCATTGGTTAGCATGTATATGGAATGCAATTAGATTTATTGAGGAAACAGATAATAATTGGTATACTTAATATGTGATTAATTTTGATTAAGAAAAGGATAATGATCCAGATTTTTGGTTTAATTAATACGTGGCAGGAATATATTTTAGGTATATTTGATGTTATAGAAGAAATAAAGCATAACTACAATGATTACTATTGGATATGGGGATATATCACCTAAGAATACTATAGAAAGATCATTTGGGATATTTGTAATGATATTAGCATCGGGAGTATTTGGTTATGTTATGAATTCTATTGTATTATTGTTTTAGAATATGAATGAATCATTAGAAGATCTATTGAATAAAAATACAGCTGCAATTAAGTAAATAAATCAATTTGAAGTAGATATATGAAATAAAAGGAAGTGAATAAGAAATTACAATCAAGAATTAAGAATTATTTAGAATGGTTAATAGAAGATGAATAATTATAAAAGAGTTATGCTCATGACACACTTGAAAAATTATCATTACCATTAAAAAATTAATTAACTTAAATTGTACATGGTAAAATGATGAATTAAATTAAATTTTTAAGTAAAAATTTTTCATCTTTGTTATTAAAAAATTTGGCTTTTACATTTTAAGAAGAAAGTATTATATATTATATATTATAATTTAGTTTATAATCCAGAAGATTGGATTATTAATTAAAATGATCCAATAAATGATTAGACATCTATATATTTTATATTGAATGGAAGAGTATCTGTTTGTTTTCCAAAATCTAAAGGTGTTATTGAATTAATAGAATTAAGTAAGAAATAATATTTTGGTGAAATATCATTTTTTGGTAATATTCCTAGATGTGCATCTGTAAAAGCTAGAAATTTTATCAATTTATTTAGATTATCAAGAAAATCATTTTTAGAATAATGTGAAATAGAAGATATTGAGAAATTCTTTTAATTAAAATTTAAAATAGAATTTGAATAGGATTATGAGGATTTAAATTTATTTTGTTATGTTTGTTAAGCTGCTAATCATACAGCTAAGAATTGTCCAAATGTACATTATGTTATAAATAAATATGATAGAATAACTATCATTGAGAAATATAATGAAGAAATTAAATTATTTATTAATGAAAGAAGAAGATAGAGAAAGAAATGTAATACTTTAAAATATTTAAATAATAAAAGAAATTAATAAGTAATTTAACAAATAACAGAAGAAGCATATCATATTGAAAAATATATTAATTTTCATTAGACTAAACCAAGTGTATTGAGAATTAAAGATTCATTTAGAACTGATTCAATTAAAGAATATACTAATTTTACACCTAATTCTAATTTAAATTCTATTGCAAGATTATAAAATTATAATGCTGAATTATATGCAGAAAATGTTAGATAATAAAAAGAACTTATGAAAAAAAATAAATTGAAAAGTAAATTTGTATAACTTTTTTAAAATAAAAAAGAATAAAGATAATCATTAAGTAATTAATCAGGCAATAAATTTTCTAAATTAGTAATGAATTTAACTAAATTAAAAAAATAATAAGATTAATAATAATAATAATAAAATTAAGAATAAGAAAATAGTCAAATATCAATATCTAGATTATCATCTCCTTCTACTATTAAACCTAAATTATTAAGAGCTCCAACTATGGTAGCAAGAAAATTGAATGAAGGAAAAAATACAAGATTATAAAGATTACCAAGAAAAACTTATTTAGGATAAATTTGTGGATTTGAAAAACGTAATTAATAATTTATAGATGTAATAATGGAAGATTCTATGGAATGTTCAGCTTAACCTTTAAAATAATCTAGTGTTATTAAAATTAAAAAAAAGAAAACAATAATCTTATAAAAATCAACAGAATCTACAATTATTGAATCAAACTAATTTCCTGATGTTTATTTTCATAAATAACTAAAAAGAAGTTAATCTTCAGATTAATTAAAATCAAATTCAGATTTAGAAAAATACTCTAAATTATTTCTCGAAGATATGATATATTTGGTGGTTAATTATAAATTATAAAATTGCAAATGATAAAATATATGTGTGTCAAGTTTTTTTTACTTATTTGACTTTCATTTAAGCCACATGTAAAGTAACAGATTTTTTGTTGATATTATCTTACAATCTAGATTTTGGTCTAGAATAAAGGGTTGCCAATTCCTATATTTTCTCAAGAGATGAATATTGTTTCTCATCTATAGATTATTTAGAACTTATAGTATATTTATAATATATATACTTTGTTTAACAATCTTAATATTCAGTAACCAATCTATTTTTTCTAGTATTTGATTTAAGACACATAGATTATTTTTATTAATTGAGATTCATAAAATTGTTATTAAATGTATTTGATCTAGGTTTAATATCTAATAATATTGTTTATTTCTATTAATCTAATAATATTTTATCAATCATTGATTAAGTTTTTTATTATAATTACTGATTCTTTTAATATTTGTTATCTTCTAGATCTTTCTTTAATTACATAATCTCTTTTTGATAACTCTTATTATTATACAAATATCAATATCATACCAACATTTAAGCTTTATGATCTTTCTCTATATTTAATTATTATTCATATAGTTCTTGAATATTTTCACAATGAATTTTAAGTCTCTGTTCTGTCTAAAATTATTTTAGTTTTTGATACCCTTATATGAGATCTACACTCTCCTTCATACTTTTATAATTATTCTTCTAATTAAGCATATTAGGATTGTATTTCTTATAGAATTCTTATAAATAGGATATATTTATATATTTACCCAAATAAATCATTAAGGACTAATATCATTATTTGAATTCCATTTAAAGCAGTGTTTGGTTATTGAATTGTTATTTTTGATTATCCTAATTCTTTTAACTGATTTATAAGTTTTGGAAAGTAATTAGTAATCTATAGAAATGATATTAATAATATTATTACTTCTTATTAGATCTCATCTAATGAGTTCATGAATAAAATATATATATATATATTATTGTTATTATTATTCTAAATATCAATTTCCAATAAATTTAGTTTATTCTCTGGGTGGTTTTTCGTTTCTTTAATGTTTCAAAGCAGGATGTGGTTATCTAAGCAATTCAAATGTGCTATCATCTTATGTCTTCTCCCAAGGTTTATAATATCTATAAGATTATAAAAAGTGAGTATACTTCATTTGATCAACTAAATCAACTTCTTTGGCAAGTTATTAAATAAGGAATTCAATTTATTCAAAACCAAATTCCTCTTCAAGTTATCTAATATCCTCTATTTCATCTGTAATTCGCATAATATATTTTAATTTCTCTTCAGTGTATATTCTGTAAAGAACACCTTCAGGGATTTCTGCCTTTAATTTATCAAGTATTGTGTAACATAATTTCATGATTTTAGCTCTTGGCATAGGCTCAACATCTAGGAAACTGTATCCAGTAGTTAATTTGATTTTTGATGATGGTACCTCATACTTCTTGGCTTCATAAGGTCTTAAATAAACAGGAATTGGATTTGATTGAGTTGCTGATGTTTAATTACCAGAGGCTACATTGGATGATCCTAGTGTTGTGGCAAATCTGAATCGTGGCATCCATCTATATAGTGTGTGAATCATTTATATTTAATAAATAATAATAAAATGAGTGTTCATAGAAAAATATTGGAAAAGAATGGTAGATTAGATAACTTACATTAATAATAATTATAACAACCTTAATAAGAGCTTGGAAAATAATATACAGATTAATAAGATTCTGAAGTTCTAAAAAATTTGGAAGCATGTCAACAATACAATTCAATAAATAGCATAAGAAGCACATCAAGAGTATTTCCAAGAACTAAAGAAATATATATGGATGCAAAAATTCCATTTACAGTGATTATATAACCTTATGGCTTATCCATAGAATAAGGATTTCCTACTGTAAATTATGGTAGCAATCCAATTTTGAGATGTCAGAATTGCAGAGCATATATAAATCCTTTTATGGAATAACTTAAAGATGAGGAATATATGAGATGCAATATTTGCACATGCATAATTAAAATACCCTAAAACTTTATTAAACCTATTGATTTAGAGAAAAGACCTGATTTGACTACTGGATCATATGATATTAAGGCAGGATAAGAGTATTAAATGAGACCACCAATGGCACCTGCATATTTTTTTATGATTGACGTGTCATAGAAAAGCCAAGAAATTCTAGGAATTATGGGATAGATAATTAAGGATATGATTTTGGAAGATAAATTTAATGAAAGAACATTATTTGGTTTTATTACATTTGATACTAGTATACATTTGTACAATTTTAATTCTTAACTTAAATAAGTATAAATGTATGTGTTAACAGATGACAATGAAATGCCAACACCAGGAGATTACTTATTTAATTTATAAGATTCTAAAGATATAATTGTTGCCTTTTTAAGTCAATTAGATCGTTTCTTTCCTAAACCATAATTAAAAAGTACTTAATTTATATCAGCATTTAATTTGGTTTCAAAGATTATGTAAGATAATGGTGGCAAATTAATTATCTTAACATCATATCAAATAAAAGAATTGAATATTACTGAGAATTCTAAATCTCCTTAGAATCACTTTTAACCTACTAATAATAAATTAAAATAAATTACTGAAAAAATGCATTTAAATTATATTTGTCCTTCAATCTTTGTTATTCCTTGTGGATTCAATAATGTTGGTACATTAAATTAATTAGTCAAATTTTTGAATGGTGATATCTTTTTTTATGATGATCCTAATATTTATAGTAAATATTCTTATTATTTTAAGCTTAAAAATTTTATTATGATTTTCGTTCAGTTTTAGAAAGAGATTATACTTGGGAATCAGTATTCAGAATACGACTATCAATAGGATGGAAAATTAAAAGTGTGTATGGTAATTATTCAATTAAAAATGCAGATCTATTGAATGTTAACTGCACAGAAGAGTAAGTGTTTTATGATTATAGAATAGTCAAAAAGTATTAATGTATGAATTAGAATTGAATTAACCTAGAGCTCCTTATGATAATTTATATATATAAACTGCTCTTCTATATACTTCAAATAAAGGGGAAAGAAGAATACGTGTTCATAATATTTGTATTCCAATTAGTAATTCTATTAAGACAATTTATTCTCAAATTGATTAATCATGTTTAGTAATTTCATTATTTAAGATTGCTCTTTCTTAATTAAATATTGCAAAAGATATGAAAGATTGTATTTAAACTAAAGAATTCTTAATTGCAGCAACTAGATCTATATCTAATAATTGTAAGATTTTAAAAGAACCACTTGATTCATTGCATTCTTATATGTTAGGAATTATGAAATCTTCAATACTCAATTATACATATGATCAATAGTCAGTTCTAACAGATTAAATGAATTACTTTAGATCAATTTTTTAATATTTAAATGTAGATGATTTAGTTACTTATATTTTACCATAATTATATAATATTTCCAATTTGCAAGAATATGAATGTATTTATGATGATAGTGGGTATTTCATATATCCATAACCAATATCTTTGGTTTTAGAGGATGTTTCAAATGGTGGATTATTGCTTATGGATTGTGGTTATTGTTTGATTTTGTTTATATGCAAGTATAGAATCTTTAATAATTAGAATACATGATGAAAATCAAATGGCTGATATATTTGGGAAATAATATTATAGTATTAATTTAATAGAAGACAATCTCTATTCCAATTCTAAAAATCCTATAAATAATAAACTACATTATTTAATTACAGAATTGAGAAAGTAAATATATAATATTATTATTTATGTTTAGTAATAAATATACTAAATATGCACCATTATATATAGTTAAATAAGGATGTAAAAATTATTGGGAAGAGGTCTTTTTTTAAAACTTAATTTATGATGATTTTAATAAGAATTATAGAATGGGATATAATCAATTTGTATAATATATTGGTTGATATTATTAATATATTTATATATATATATAATAATTATATACAATGAAGAAAAATAGATTCCAGCAATAAAAGGAAGAGTAAAAGAAACAAAATTATTTTGATGAAGAGGAAGATATAGATTTAGAAGATGATGGTCTATTTGGAAAAGAAGTATTAACTGCATGTAATCATTAATCATTTATTATCAGCTAAACCCTATGAGGAATATTTCTAAAAGTTTAATGAATTATATAATAATCACATTGTTAATTTTTCAGCATTTGAAGAAGATTATCAAATCCCATTGACATAACCTGATTATGAAAGCATCATTCAGAGTCATTTCATGGTTTATGAAAAGAACATGGGATTGTTTGATTTTATGAAGTCAGACAATAAAGTTTTTGATAAGATTAGTGCATCCTTTGTATTCATTGATAATTAAATCAGATAAATAGAAGATCAAGTATTTTTATAAATATTATTCTATAGTTCTATAAATTCCTTGATAAATTAACTATTTATGGAGAATTGGCAGATCTTCATTTAGAAGAAGAGAGAAAATTAACTGATGGAGAAGCTGAAATCATGATATGTAGAATGCTTGGTTAATTTAAGTAAATATATGACATAATTAAAAAACTCATCAATTACATCACCCATTTAGTTAATCAATTGAATTTACTTTACAATAAAAAAGATCCAATTTCTAAAATAATTAAAATATTTAACTTAAATTTTCCATTAGATACTATAGGAAGAGCATTGCAACTTATTTATGTCTTAGATAATGTTGTAGAATAGAATGATTATTTATAAGAACATTGGAATTATTGTAAGAGAATGTTAAAAATTGTTAAACCAGATCCTACTAAATTCAATTCTAATGCTTAAAATGTTAAACAATTAGAAAAAATTATGATTAGATTAGATAAAACAGTATTATCTGGTTCTTGTCTCTAATCTGTTTTAGCATAGAATTGGGATTAAAATGTTCATGAGAAAACAGGCAAAGAGAAAAATGCAAATATACCTGCAATTAAAAATAATAAAGAATTCTTTAATGTACTTAATACATATCTCAAAGAAAGATATGAATTATTTGATAAAACATTAGGAACTGCTAAAGAAATGTTTGAAAGAGATTTATTATTGCCTACATTTTGTGTTTATGCACTTGTTAGATAATTATATCAAAATGATGAAAATAGAGATCTATGGAAAAATCTTTGGTCTCTATAAAAGAAAGTTCCAATGGTTGATGGACATTCATAAGTTTTATGTTATTTAAGTAAATTTCTTATGGAAGTCACTCCATTAACAAAAAAGAGTCAGACTATGGATCCAAAAGATCCTATTGCCAATTTTAAGAATTATTTATAAAGATTATCAGGTTCATTTTAAAGTTCATTAACTGCTTAATATGTTGCATTCACTACTTGGATAGTTAGAGTTGACTCATTTTCATGTAGTTAAGCTTCATTTAATAATATTGATAAAATTGATAGAGAAAGAGCATAGAAATATATAGAAGAGAGAATGAATTAGAGAGTAATTTTAGTATTGTAAGGATTAACAATTGCATCTTAAACAAGAAATCTATTATAAGCATTATTATTAGGACATTTTGGATTAGAAGAATAATCATTAGATACATCATTATCAAAAGATGTTGTTTTGGCAGTTGAAATGTTAAAAGCAATAGAATATTATTTTGAATAAAAATATGATGTATTCTAACCTGCTTTAATATAAAATCATATAACTAAAAATGGATAAAGAATTATTTAATAAGTATTAGAGAAAATGAAGGCAAATTTAAAGAGTTTTGGTACAGGAGGTGCTGAAATATTAGGAGCATTATAAATATTAAATTCTATTCTAAAGAGTACACTATCACCTTTGAAATTGTAGACTATGTATTTTTTAATGGATTTTATGGTTGCTAAAGATATATTCACAAATTAAGAAAAAGAAGATTTCAGAAATATTCTTTGGAAACTTGATAAATTAATTTTATTACCTTATTATGTAAAAAAAGTGACAGCAAGTACTTATTTTTATTGGTGTAGAGAATTATTACCTTCATTCTTTTAATATATTTATTAACATCCATCATAAGCAAAAAGATTTTAATTTTTATTGAATGCTGTATCTGATTGTTCAGTTCAATTAAAAGATTGTATGCATTTAGAAAATCCTGATGAATTATTTGATTCTTTTAGATAATATGTTGTTAAAGAATTTTATGCATAATATTTATAACCATTGGCTAGAGATATTGAAGATTATTTAAGAATTTAAGTACATACAGTATTAATTGAAAAAATAACAGCATTAAATCCATTTAAATAATAAGTGAAAGATTTAAAAAGATTATTAGATATTGATTATGTATTAATATTTGATTCAATTGTCAATTTGAGAACTGAAATAAATCAAATATTAAATGAAACATTCTATAATATTAATGTACTCAATATGTATGATCAAGAAACATATGAATAAATGAGAAGTTTAGCTAATTCTAAATTTGGATTAAATTTAATTAATGTTTATTTACCAACCTAAACAGTAGATTAAGGAAACTTTGATGTACTAAATGTTCTCAAAAATATTTAATAATTCTTTACTAAATACACATATAATTTGTATTAATAACAATTTGTTTAAGTATATAAATTTAATATAATTAATATAGGTTACATCAGAAAGTAAATAAGTATATTCAATAAGTATTTAATAAATAGCAGATTCTATAAGAACACATGGTATTGGTATATTGAGTACAACTGTTAATAGTGTCTATAAATTCTTATAAAAGTATATTAATTTATATATATAATAGAAAAATACAAATGTTTTCATAATTTTTATTTGATGATTTAATACAATCACCTTTAGTAAGAGAAGATAGATTTTTTAGAGAAAAGAAAGATGAATTAGATGGTTAATATCCTTATGATAGAGCAGAAGCATTATATAAGGAAATTAAAAAAATGGGTACATTTGATGATGGATCTAATTATCTTGATAAATTCAGAACTTTAATAACATAAATAGGAAATTCATTAGCATTTGTTAGATTATTAAGATCAGCAGCTTTACATGTTAATTCAAAATGTTTAGAATATATTCCAAGTTAATACAATCCTACTTAATTAGAATCACTTACAAGAGAAGCTGGATTTAGTGGTAATTATATTAATATGATATTTAATAATAGATGCAACAGTTAGTACAGCAAAAGAATTAGAAGAGATATTTACATTATATAAAAGTAGTTTTTCAGAGAAAATTGATTATATAAATTTATTGTTGAAGGCATTTTCAAGTATCAATACACCAGAAAATGAACATTTGTCTCTATTTTATTTGATTGTACCTACATTGACTTTGAATTTCATTGAAAAAATGTTAATTTCAAAAGATTAAATAGGTAAAAAGAATTCAACTACTGAAGTATTTATTAGTGTAAATATTTATTTATAATATTATAGGATGATGGTTTTACTTTAGGAATTCAATTTTTCTTAACTTTATTAGATTAAAAAGCATAATTTGATTCTCTTCATTGGAGAAAAGAAATAAAAAATAAATTCACTCTTGATATGAAATCAGCTAAAACTTTAGCTACAACAAAACCAAATTAATCATAAAGAGCAACAGACGAAGTAATTAATATTTATATATAATTTATAGATTAATATGTAAAAAGAATTATCATTACGTAAATTAAATATGTAATATGATGAATTCCAAATGTTCTTCTATGCTTTCAATTCATGTAAAATCCTGTTTCTTGGAGAATGATTAACCAAAATTTAAATAATAAATAATATATATTTATATAATATGAATTAATCTTAATATGGAGCCTTTGGTATGAGTGGTAATAATTTCAATCAAACTAGTGGTAAACCACCTGTTAATAATTATAATTTTGAAAATGTTAGAGTAAAATATCATTCATATTAGTTTAGGCATAATAACCTGCACCAGGTGGACCATAACCATCCAGAGGAAAGCCTTTAGGTACAGCTGCTAGACAACCTTAAGCAGAAGCTAGACCTATGACTTCTAATAGAGGAGCCAATTTTGGATAAAAAAAGGACCCATTCAATTCTACTCAAAATCAAATTAATTTGAATAAACCCAAACTTGAAACAAATCCTGAAGAATAATTTAAAGCCATCGAAAAAGAAATAAATACATTAATAGAATAGAGTGCTATGGCTAAATTAAGAGGCAATCTATCTGAATGTTTGGAAAAGGCTAAAGAAGCATTCAATAAAGAAAAGAAATTAAGATAATCTAAAGAAGCTTAAAATTTAGTAGAATCAATAAATACAGATCTTAGTTATTGTGCAGCCTTAACTTAAGCATGTGCTTTACATGCTAATGGACTCCATTAAGATGCTCTAACAAAATATTAAGAAATAATCAAATGTAAACAATATCCACAAGCAGGAAGATTGAGAGTCAATATGGGAAACATTTATTTTGAATAAAAAAAATATACTACTGCAATTAAAATGTACAAAATGGCTTTGGATTTGATTCCTGCCACATCAAAAGAAATGAGATTCAAAATCCAAAAGAATATTGGTCATGCATAAGTAAGGTTGGGCAAAGAAAAAATTAAAGAGGCAATAACTTCATATGAATAAATACTGAAAAGTTCACCTGATTTTCCAACTGGATTTAATCTAATGATTTGCTTATATTTGAGTGGAAATAAAAATAAAATGAAAGATTACTTTGTTACTCTATTAACTATTGAAATACCAGGAGAGAGTGAAGAAGAAAATAATGAAAATAAGGGAACTACTATTACAGATAAATTAAGAGAAGATACTAAAGAAAGAAGAAGAGAAGCTATATATTATATTGTCACTTCTGCCAAATTGATTGCTCCATTAATTGAAGATGATATTATAGTTGGATATGAATGGATATTAGAATAACTCAAAAATTCTACATTCCCTGAAGCTGAAACAGAAATTGAAATATGTAAGGCAATGGCTTATTTAAAAAAAAAGAATATTGAGAAATCTATTGAAACATTAAAAGGATTCGAAAAAAAAGATAAGTTAATTATGGCTCGTATTGCTACAAATATCTCATTTTTGTATTTCTTAGAAAATGATTATAAATAAGCTGAAAAATATGCTGAAATTGCTATCACATACGATAGATATAATGCAAAGGCTTTAGTAAATAGAGGAAATTGTTTATATGTGAAAAATGAATTCTTGAGAGCCAAAGAATAATATTTAGAAGCTATAGGTGTTGAAGCAGATTGTATAGAAGCACTTTACAATTTAGCATATGTAAATAGAAAATTGAATATGTTTGTTGAATCTTTATAAGCATTGGACAAATTATAAACTATTGTATGTATTCCTGAAGTTTTGTTTTAAATGGCCGCATTGTATGAAATGACTGGAAATTCAAAATAAGCTATGAAATGGTATCTAGAATTATTGAACAAAGTACCTAATGATCCCAATATTCTAGCTAGATTAGGATCACTATTTGCAAGAGTAAATAATATAATATAATTAATAGGAAGATGATGAACCTTAAGCATTGCATTATTTTTAAGAATCTTATAGAATATTACCAACAAACATTGATACAATATCATGGCTAGGAGTCTATTATGTGAAATAAGAAATGTATGAGAAGGCAAGCTTATATTTTGAAAGAGCAGCATAAGTATAGACAAGAGATGTGAAATGGAAATTGATGGTTGCTAGTTGTTATAGAAGAATGGGACATTTTTAAAAAGCATTAGGAAACTATTAGAAAATCTATTCTGATTATCCTGATAATATTGAATGTATTAAAAAGTATTAAATACTTTAGGTCTCCGATTCTTAGTGCAATTATGTAGAGAAATGGGATTACCTTATGAAGAATATGCAGGTTAATTAAGAAAATTGGAAAGAGAAATGGAAATGATTGAAGGATATTAGGGTCAAGATTTAAATTTAATAAATAATGAAGATGAATAAGTTCGATTACCTTAAGGAGATGATAATCCTGTTAGTTTCACTAATAATACAAGGTAATTATAATTATATTTTAATAATAGGAGAGGCAATAAACAACCACCTCCTAAAACAAATATAAGATAAAATTTAGATGATGAATAATTCTAAGATGGAGTAGAAGATAACTTTTTACCTTGATTTAATATAAAATCTAAATATATTTGATAAATATCTTGTTTTTATGTAAGAAATCAACAACCATCAGGTCTTATGTATTCAGGAGCAATACTTGGACATCTCTAATTCATATTTTCATATGGTTCAACTGTATTATACCATTCTAATTCAATTCTGTGAGTTCCCATTAATTAACAATATGGTAGATCTGGATCATTTTTTTTGCATTTCTCTGGAACTACATAATTAGAATCAAAGAATTTCAATTGATAAATATCTTTTGGTGTGAACCTATATTAATTTTATTATTATTACTCAAGTGCTTCAATGTGAAAAGGTTTGAATAATCCAGCTGCTTTATACATTGCAGTTACAAAGGCAGCACAAGCTTAACTTGGACCATCACTATAAATCCATTCATCTCTTTCTACCATAGCGTATAAGTCACTCTATAAATATATATAGTTATTCTACCAATTCAATTCCTTATTTTGCAGCTTCTATTGCAATTTCTGACACTGATAAACCTTCTGTGCCCAATCTTTTATTTAAGGCTTCTCCTACTAAAGATGTGATTGGTCCTGGTGCTATTTTTTCAATGAAAGAGAATAAATAAGTGGCAAATTCTGCACTTAATGGTTTTGGATAATTATCTTTTGGTGTATCTATCCAACCAAATAAAAAGGTGTGATATCCATATGGTTATCCTTCCATCTTTTTCCAATATTCCATAGCTGCTTATTAATCCCATTATGCTCTTTTTTCTGGACTCAATGGTAAAACAGCAACATTAAATCCAGCATTTTTAGCATATACTTTCCAATCTTCCCATTTAGTTTTTTGTATTTTTTTTGTTGGCCAATACCAAGCATCTTATGATTCAATTACATATTTTTCACCATCAATTTCAAAGATCATAGCACTATGTCCAATTCTACCTCCAGTTCCCCATTCTATAATTTAATCTAATCCATCAAATCTAGTGACTGCTAAAAAATCTCCATTGTTTACTTCATCTGCCTTTAAATCAACAACAACATTAGGTCTTTCTTACCATCTATAACCAGTTGCTCTTTCTATTAATTCTATATTTGATCTTACCATCCAATCAGGTGGATGACTTATATTTTTATATTATTGTACCTTCCAAAGATTGGACCTAAATATGGGTTACTAGAAAATCCACCAAAAAATAATTCTAATGTCATTAATAGATCACCAAACCAATTTTCTAAATAATCACATGTTCTAAATATGTATGCACCTGAATATTTAAAAGCTTCAACTTATTTTTGATTTCTGAAATTAAAATAGACTCTATGTTCTTTTTCTTTAATAAAATAAATTTAAATAATTTTACAATCTTTAATGTTGACAATATTGTAATTCAAGGTTGTACCAATCAAATAGAATTCAGAACATTATTCACTATTCTTGTATTTTCCTGGAGTGAATGTAACACACACACGACTAAAATTATATACAATATAGAATTAACTTTTCTGCTTCATTGGTTTCATATGATACTCTCATTGATTCATAACAATCATCTTCATATTTGATCAATCTAATATTATTTTAACCATCATTTCCTATTCTTCCAGCATTCTAAAAAAACATTCCAAAAAATTCATGATGATCTGTTTTTCTACAACCTATTACTTATGTCTCATCTAAATAGAATTCTATATCACATACTTAATCTCATAAATGTATTCATCATCTTCTCATATTTTAATTTAGGGTCTTCTTCATCATACATTGTAATCTCTGTAACAACTTCATTTTCAAATTCTTCTTCAATGTGAGTTCCATGTAATCTATCATAGATGGTTTTCTTTCCAAAACTACAAATTAAAAGCAAAGCAAAAATAAGAGTATATTTCGTCATTACAATTTATAATTAATTTGTTTAATTAGGATATTTTTGAATACTTTTAAACTATATTCGAAATTATTTCTTATATATTTTTAAAATGTAGATATTAACTATTATCCAAGTAGTTGTTTCAACAACTTTTGGTGTATTTTTTATTAGTGGCTGTGGTGCTTATTTAACTCATAAAAAAATTATCACTAAACAATTAACTAGCCAACTTTCATGTTTAACTGAGCATTTATTCATTCCAGCATTAATTTTTACTAATTTTTTAAAGAGTCTCACACTGGAAAAACTTAACTAATAAATCCCATGTATCATCATCACCTTGTTATGTTTATGTTTTGGTTACATCCTAGGAACGGTCAGCAATAAATATTGGATCAAGGAGAAAGGACTAAATTCAGTTGTCATTTTAGCTTCTGCTAATCCTCATACTACCAATTTACAATTATAACTTTGTTATGGTCTAAGTAAATGGTTTGCTATGATGACTAGTAAACCAGAAAAATAAATTGAGGCAACACTTGTAACTACTGTGATTATTTAAACAGTAATTGTGACCTCAATTAGATGGACCATTGGAAAAGGTATCTTACAATAATAAGAGATGGAATTAGAAATGACAAATCTATCAGAACCTTAGTCTCATAATTTGATTATCCCTCTGTCATCATAATAACCATCTAAAGGTGATATAGAAATTAAATAAAGATCATTTTGGAATCCTCCTTTGAGTGCTGCTTTGGTTTCAATTGCTTGTATTTGTATCCCAATAGTTTAGACTTAAATACTTAATAACCAAGTAATTTACAATACAATTTTTGTACCACTTTAAACCATATCAAAAGCAACATCTCCAATAGTATTGATAATTCTTGGAAGTAGTCTTTATGAAATCTATATGGGAAATAAAGATAAGGTTGAAAAATATTCAGCAATATTATATATAGTAATCAACCGATTACTATTTATGCCAATAATTGGTATGATAATCGTGATAATTGTGTATAGCCAGAAAATAATTGATGATAAATGTCAATTATTTATGCTATTTCTAACCTTTTGCACTCCATCATCGATTAATATACTATTATTGGCAAAATAATACCTATAATCAGCTGAAGAAATAGTAACAGTTATATTATTATACAGTTATCTTTTATCCATAATAACATTACCTTTATGGATGATTATATATTTAATGATATTTATTGCATGAGTAAAATATTGTTACAGATTTGTACATTATTGTTATTATTAATATCATTTAAGAATATTTAGTTATTTAAAGAAGGCAGACCATATAAATTAATAAAATTTGTTACTTAATTTTTTTTAATTTAAATTAGCAATCTCTGTAGACTAATTTAATTTTTAGGAAATAAAAATGGTATTATTAAGAAACTTAATTGTTTTTCATTAAATTTTGTTTATGATTTTTATAAATATTATACGAGCGGTAGTTTCAGCAACCTTTGGTGTGTTAGCCATAGCAGGTAGTGGTGCCCTTTTAACCCATAATAAGGTCATGAACAAATAATTCACAACAACTTTATCCAGTCTAGTTGAAAGACTATTTCTTCCATCTTTGATTTTTACAAATTTTCTTAAAGCTGTTACTATTGGTTCTCTAGTATCATTAATACCTAGTATAATTACAACCTTTTGTTGCTTATTTTTTGGTTATTGCATAGGAATTGTAAGTAATAGATTTTGGATTAAAGAAAAAAAACTAAACTCTATTGTCATTTTATCATCTGCAAATCCACACACTACTAATATTTAATTATAACTTTCTTATGGATTAACATCCTATTTATCTAAAATGACAGAATAACCAGAAAAATAAATTGAAGTCAAATTAGTTACCATAATTATTATTTAAACTGTGATTGTTAATGCTTTAAGATGGTCTATAGGAAAAAGAATATTGGAATAACATGAAACTGATTAGAATCAAGCTGAGATTGAACTCTCTGATTTAAGAATAGCTTTACCAGAGTAATAATCATAAAACAAAAATGAATAAAAATCAGAAAAGTCATTTTGGAATATGCCTTTAATATCAGTATTAGCATCATTATGTTGTTTAGTAATTTATCCAATTTAAGATGAATTAGTAAATGATACCTTTTTGCATAGTGCTATATTCTTACCTTTATAAACAATCTCAAAAGCAACAACTCCATCTGTTTTAATGATTCTTGGATCAAACCTATATTTAATTTATTTTAATAATTCATCCTAATAAGAAAAAATATCTACAATCATTTAAATAGTGGCAAATAGATTAATATTTTTACCTTTCCTTGGATTAATTACTATTTTATTATTAGATAAATTATCAATAATGACTGATGTTTGTCAACTATTTATTTTATTTATAACCTTTTGTACTCCATCTGCTATTAATATTTTAGTTATGGCTAAACAATACTAATAAAATGCTGAAGATGTTGTATCATTGATCTTATTATATGGATATTTAGGATGTATATTTACTTTGCCAATTTGGATGACAATTTATCTAGCAATCTTCTAAAATACCTGAAATTTATGAACATTTTATATTATTTATATATACATATTTAATAATAAAAATTATAGTTTATTAGAAATTAATTTATAGTATTTATAATTCATTATTAATCTTTTATGAAGAGAATTATCATTGTTGACTTTTGTTAATATACTTAGTATTTGAATTATACAATAATGTTAATAATAAATTGAAAATAAATATATCAAATATTAAAATTCACTTTTTTTCTTTAATTAATGTATTTATTTAATTTGTAAACAATTTAATAGAATAAAATATAAATATATTGTTAATTTCTTTTAGGATGTATAGAATATAATTTTAATGAATCCTTATCCAAATATAACATCGGTAAGATTAAAGTGCGCTTGTCCTCCTAGTTGTATATGCAAATCTAGTGAATTAAGAGAATGGAGTCATCTAAGTTGCTCAAAATATTCATATCTTTCAGCTAAAGGGGATATTTTCTGTAATCAATAAGGATGCAAGAGTTATTTTATAAAGGATGCTAGTTTCCAATGTTAGCAGGCAAAATAAAACTCAACTTTTTATCAATACAAATCAGCAGCTTAATTTATTATGGCTTTGGCTATGGCTATATAAGCAGCTGATTTAACACTTAAAGATAATGATTTAATAAAATTTACTACAGATATTAATTCTGAAGTGATGAAAAGGTGGAATTTGTGAATCTTTATTTAGTATTGAGAATTATATTCAACTTATCATAACTAATAGTTTTAATAGAAATAAAATTTAAACATAATATATATTTTTTATTTCAATGATATGAGAATGGATATTAAATTGTTCATTAAATTAATCTCTTTTTTAATGTCTCTTCTTTTGAGAATTATTAAATTACATCAAGGTACCTTGCTAGTTTCCTTTAAGCTTAATATTTTTTTTAATCAGTTGATAGAGGACTTTTGAGAAGAATTAGATTATATCTATTGGTCAGAAAAGTACTAAGAAAAAATGTAATTAGGGAAAAATAATTTAATTTATTTAAACATACTAAATTTTGCTTATGCTAATAATGTAGCTATTCTCACACTTAATAAAATAGGTTGTAAAATAATTTATAGATCTAGCCTAATAGGATAGTTTTAAGTTAAACATTAAGATAATTGGTTGTCTATATTTGTTAAAATAATTGATCTTACAAGTTTAGACTTTACGAAAACAATTTATTTATATATAAAATTTTAAAAGCACTCAAATTCTTATCATTGATTGTTTGACCTTTATATATATATAAAAAATTATCATTTATATAATAATTGAATGTTATTTATAAATTTGTTTTGATAAAATTATAAAATATTTAATATCTTTATATAAATTATTTATCAAATCCTTACGAAATCTTCAAATATTTCTTCTAAACTGCTATGCATTACAAAAAAATGCCTAAAATGATATAGTGGATTAAGATCCATGTTTTTCAAACTTGTGGCTATTAATCTATAAATGATTATTCTTCCAAAATAGTTAGAGATTCTAAAAGTACTTGGGATATTATTATATTGCCTCCAAAGATTGTTTCAATTTTATATTATTCTGATTGCATTTTTATTCTAAAATAGTATAAATAATACTTCAGTAAGTAAAAAACGTACATAGTTATATAAGGTGTCATCAAGAATATAATAAGAAGAAGCTGGCTTATGAAAGCAGCAATCCTTTTGAATCTATATATAGCTCAATTATCTTGTAAAAAATCTCATTATAAAAATGATTAGTGGGTTTATAATAATGAATAAAAAAATGAAAAGAATTTAATTGTTTAACATCTAAAATTCAAGGATTGTTAAAGTTAAAAATAAATTTAATTAAGAGAGTACTTCTAAAATTCGATAGCTATGTTCAATACTTTTGTCTTTATAGTTAAATAGTGAAATAGTTTAATGAATTTACTAAAATAATTATTCAATTGTACCTTAAATCTTTCCTTGAACACCTTAGAATTACCTTAATATATAAAATTTCTATTCTGTAAAATGTTCTGGGGACTCAAATTCCTTTATTCAGTATCAGATCTCTCACAGTCTTCTTTGTAATCTTTATATGTATAAACGATATAGATGGCTATAAATATGAATGATAAAGAGCTAGTACTGATTTGTAAAACCAATTGATTATCAGATGTGGAATCAATTTTAAGATAAGGTCATTAATTTATTGAGTTGTTTACATTTTACAAAACTAAATTTTTTGAGGTTAAGAGGAAAATATCACCAAACTTATTACATTCGCTAGTTAGTTCTATAGTATCGTTATTTTGTACTCTATTGAGATTGCACTAATTAAATTTCCCAGAAATTGTTCTAATTCCACATTAAATTTCATATTCAGATAAAAATTATGTAGTATTTGAACAAAATTAATAAGATCCAAATTTTGTGCCATAAAAAGATTAAAAATTTTCATATGATATTAATCTATTCTAACAAGAATTTTTTAATTATATTTGGTAGTATTTCTCTGAAAATATTTGCAAAGTTGAGTCATTAAATTAGTTTTAAAACAAACCTTAGAGATCCGAAGTGAATCTTAAAGGATTTATTTAAAAATAAGTTTATTCAAATTAAATATAATCTACAAGGTAATCCTCTAAAGCTAGTTTAATATTAAAGCATTAATTAAAAACTGATTTTGTTCTTCTTTTTATTTCCCACATAATCTCATTTCCATTAAGAACTAGAGGATTTTAGTTTACTATAACTGTATTTTAGGTTTCCTCTGAAATTAAAGTAACAATTGTTTGCAATTCAATAATGGCTTAATAAAGAATTTAAATTTTTACATTTATTGATGAAAAATTCGAATAAATAAAATCTAGATAGTATATAATTTAATAAAACAAATTGATTAAAATAAACTACTTAATCAATCTAAAGAGCTTTAATACTGTTGAAAGATTTATTCATTTCATGTGTATTAATTTAATTAAAGCTCCTCTTAAAATTGCTTTTTTAGTTTCTTAAAATATTGTAGAGTGTTTTTTAAATTTTTTGGATTTTCTTTTAAATTTTATATTTGAGTAGTTAAATTAACTTCTTCTTGTTCAGAAGTGGAATTGTATGTAATAAATAAATGGTTTGAGTTTATATCAAAGCATCTTTGATTTTGTAAATCAGTTTTAGGTTTGCTTTAAATGGATTAAATTAAGAATTGTTTATATAGTTTTAAAGCCTTAAATTTTAAGATATTTTCATTTTTATCTGATGAAATTGATTTCTAAAGCAAATGAAGATAAATTTAAGAATGCAGTTCTTCGCATTTTTAATTCATTGTTTCAAATAGCAATGCTATCTAGTTTTATAAATTTAAATTCTAAAATTAAATTGAGGAACAATTTATTTTTGCAAATTTTACAGTAATTTATTCAAAAATTTGAGTGATTGATTCTCCAGTATCAAGCACTTAAACTAAAATTCCAATTTTTGAGGAGTCAATAGAGGTGGGAGTTTAAATTTAAAATTAATTTTAAGTTTAAAATGGATAAAGAATTAAGGAATTATCTGAAGATTCTATTAAGAAATTAGTTAAGTCTGATTCTCTTAAAAATAACCTAAGCTAATATTCATATGGAGAATCATTTGATTGATCGCAACTACAAGTTACTAAGAGATCAGTTAGCGCTAAAGTATTTGAACTAGTTAGAAATAATTTTGAACATTCTGGAGGCTAATTCATAGACAGTGTTATATTATTTAGACTTGGCATAATATTATTTGTGGATTAAGCTGCAAATTTAAGATTTATATCATCACCAAAATTTAATTTCTTGATGCTATTAATTATCTTAAATTAATGGAATATGTATTTTGGTTGCAGTATTTCTATTATTTCAAAATTATAAATAATTGCAATAGACAGATCTAACAGATGTGGTTTTTAATCAAAAGGGATTTCAAATGTAAAATTTAATTATTCATAATTGTTAATTTTTCTCATTAAATATCCTTTATTGTATTCTAGATTTAGCATAGGGAAATCATCATCAAGGTAAACAATTATTTAAGTAAATTTTTTAGTTTCTTAAAATTTGGTAACAGTTACACTCCATTCTTAAATTTCGAAAGTGGAAATTGAATTCTTCCTTATAAATTATTATGGGGCAGTCTTATTAACATTTATGTTTTTGTTTTGTTCATATTATCATGCACTGCTTTTTATAGATCTTTACAAGTAACTTAAATAGACAAATCTGGATAACTGTTCCAATCATATATTGTGTCGAAATCATTACATTCTATTAGGAGATTCAGATCTTTTCTTATACTTTAAATTCCTCTATTGTTAAACTAACAAATCAATCCAGCAAATGGAATATATATAGTAAAATTTTAATATTGTGTTTAGTTAGTATTTATATTTGTAGCTGTTATTTATAATGTATATGTTGAATTCGGGCTTAAAGTGTTTTTTGGAATGGTTATATAAATCATTTCAAAGGAATCAGATTAACTTGATGAGTTTAATTATGAGGATGTTGATTTTTTAGGATATCTGTCGATTTCATTCAGTTAAATATAATATTTGGAATTATCTTTTTACATTGATTATTCTAAATTGCCAGCAGAAACCCAAATTTAATCGTCTAATAAACAAAATAAGAAGGTTTTGCATTAATGTTTATTTATGGAAGAATTACTGAATGAGTGTAAATTGTAAATTCTGTTTAAGAGACGATATGGATGAAATTTTCATATTAGATCTATTATTAGATTATTATGTTTTAAAATGAATTCAATGAATAGAATTTAGTTTACAATAAATTTAGGTATTAATAAATGATATTCTTAAACAAAATTTAGTTAATCTAAAAATTAGCTAAGAGTATAACTATCTTCACTTGCTTTCACTTGACAACTCCAAATATTATCTAATTTTCTATTTCCATTGTTATTGATTGATTTTCAATACACTGAATTATCTGATAAAGGATTTAGTTTATATAAGAGGTACATGATATGTAATTTATGGAGGAAGTGGGTTTATTGGCATTTACAATATATCAAAGATAAAGATTTTTAAAGTAGTTTCACAATTAATTTGAGATGAGGTATTATGATTGACTTCGGAATCATTTTATCACTTTCTTAATAATCATATCATTGTTATCAAAATCGGATTCTATATCAGTGCATCATTTCATCCCAATATATGAATAAGAAGTTTATCGAGGGGTGTTATTAAATTCTCATAAAATTAAAAATAACAAATTAGTATTTAAAAAAAGTATCCTGTTCATAAAGTGTCTATCAAAAAAAAGTTTGAATAAACAAATTATAAAAGAGTAATTTTTAATTCAATTAATAACGAATATAAGTATAAATAAATTCTACATTTTAAACTTTTTTGGTTAAAATATTGGAGGACTAAGTACAAGGAACCTTGAAAAAGAAAAAGTAAAATTAATTACTAAACCAAAATGTTCTGAATACTAATAAGATTATAACAGCAATCCATTTAGTTAATTTATTTTTTTAATGAATTATTAAATCTAAAATAAGCAATACAATAGAAAATTATAATTATGAAGAAGAGAAAATTTCAGCATTTTTATGAAATTTAAAATATATTGAATCTGAATAAATTTATTTTAAATCAAAGTAATTTCAAAAATCATAATATACTGTTTTAAGCAAAAAATTTTTAGAACTAGATTTGTAGATTTTTATATTATTCAAATCTTTAAGAAACCTATATATTTATTAGAGACACTTTGAATATGAAGTTATTTAAGAAACTTTTATAATTAATTTATTTCTTTGGATGAAATATATAAATTAAATTATATAAATTTTACTAATACTAACTTAACATGAGGATTTAATTAAGAGATATAAATTGATAAGTAGTTGAAAGGATTTCCTATATAAAAATCTAATGAGCTTTATATTCTTTTTGTTAAATTTTGATTGTATATGGAAAAATATCAATTTTTAGATTTATAATATCTTGTTGTAATATGTTCAAGGTTCTAATAGTCTTTAAGATAAATTTTATTTTACTAGTATTGATAATTGTGATTACGTCATCAGCAAATTGAAAACTTAACTAGTCTAAAAATCAAGAGTACTTAATACATTTTAGAATACTATCAAATAAATATTAAATAAGCTTGGGTTTATAGTGAATCTTATGGAACTGTTCATGCAAAAATAATTTAATGGAATTAATAATAAGGAATTTTTGAATGATGCACTAGTTGATTTGATTCAAGAACTTTTTTTGTTTTAATATTTGATAGAATAAATTTTCTTATCAAAGTTTAATGCATTAACATCTATTTATATACAGTTCATATTAATTTTTTGTAAGAATCCATTTATAAGATTAATCAAATTGGTGATATTTATTTACGTGGAATTATAAACTTATTTATGGATCCTATTATTAATAATTTAAATAACAAACTCAATATTTGTTTTTAACATTATTCTTTATTCAAAATATTAGTGGAAACTTAATTAAAGGAATCAAACAAGCTTCGAGTTAATTAATTTAGATTGATGATTACTCCATAGTTATTAATTAGGAAATATTTTTGTAATTCTTTATGAATGATTCAGAAATGCTATTCTTATTTAATGGCCTCCTTTGTTATAATTCCTTAAGATTATCTGGTTATTTTTATATGAAACTTAACAAATTAATTCAAGCAAATTTTTCAAATTAAACATTATTCTGTTTATCAAAATAATATTAACGTATTCCTCCAGCTCTTTTCTTTTTATTTATTTTAATAATTTAATTAACTGTAGTTTAAGAAATAATTAAATCCCTTTATTAATAGAAATTCTAAGTTATTAAAATATAGAAAAAGAATTATTAAGCCATATCAAATTTTTTTAAATTATGATTAAATGATCAAACCAATCAAGTCATAATTTATAATTTTAATAGTTAGTAGATGGTTGTAAGTTTTTATTTCAAATTTCTTGCAGACAGAAGATATAAATTCTAAAAATCATTCCTTTTTATGATTTTAGTGTGATAATATAAATCAATAACAATTATTCTTTCAGCTACTAATTTTACGAAAACACGTGTTTAAAAATTATTGCAAACCTTTAATTAATAGTCTTTAATCATATAAATATTTGAAACCCGGTTAAATGCAGTTACTATCCTATGAAAAGGAAAATCAATATTAATTAAGGAAATTGAATGATCAAAAATATAATTCTACAATTTAGAAAAAAAAGAAAAATTCTTTAAATATTTAGAGATTTCTTTTGATATTCGGTGTATTTTTTCTAACTAGCTAAATTAAGCAAAAAATGCTATAAACTATTAATTTATTAATTAAAACCACTGAGGAAAATATTATGATATATAATAAAGCAATGGAATGCATATTTGAGACTTCATTTCTAAATACATCTCCAAACCTTTATACACAATCCAATCATCAAAATGATGTTTCGGAAAAAATAAGAAGAGATTCAATAAAATTATTAATCAGGTTACCCAAAACCATATCTACAAAAGTTTAGATGAAATTTGGGAATTATATGATTTTAAACATTAAAAATAAACTAAAAAAAAAGATATTATAAGTTTGTATCAGAAATGGTGATTATTACAAGGTAATACTGAATTAACGTTGAATTTATTTCTCTAATTATCCATCAACTCCAAATTTTAGCAAGTTTCGTGTTTATCTTAGCATAAATATATAAGTTTCTATACTGTGATAATATTATGAGATTTAGTATATAATAAATAGAAATTCAATATTTTTTTTAATCAAATGAATTAGAATGTTGAATATGAAGAAAATCTATATAAAATTTTAGCATAGATTAACAATATTGATGATTAAATCTTGAGTGCGATTTTTGAAATATTTAAAAAAGAGAAAATTTAAGAATGTGAAGGATTACTTACAAAAAATGAAAATCATAACTAATTAGAATTTTAAATGGATAAGTTAAAAGAAGTTAAGGCTTATTATAATAATATTAAATAAATCAAAAATGTTATCAGCTAAATTAAAGATCATGACTTCAATAAAAATAATTATAACTCAGAAATCTACATAGAAATTAAACGAAAGCTAATTTTGAAAATATCATAAGAATAGAAGATTATTGAATTATTGATATTTCTAGTTCAGCTTACAGCAATTGACAACTAATTTGTCTAATGTGGGTCAAATTCACTGCATATATTAATTGAAATGAAGGTTGATCTAACTAAAAAATGCTTTGAAAATATTAAGATATTAAACACTTCTTTGATTGGAGCTAATTTTGCCAGATGCAATCTGAGCGGATCAGAATTTGAAAATGTAGATATAAGTGGAGTAAATTTGAATGAAACATAGTTAATTAATTGTAAGTGGAAAAACTTAAGAATAAATGAGTTACATAAATTTGATGAGCTTAGTAAATCAGTATGCTTCTCTCATGACGGTGCAATATTGGCTACTGGTAGTAGTGATGACTCTATTTGTTTATGGGATGTTAAGACAGGTCAATAGAAATTTAAATTAAAAGGTCATACTAGCTATGTCGAATCTGTTTGTTTCTCTCCTGATGGTTCTACATTAGCATCTGGTAGCGATGATAAATCTATTCGTTTATGGGATGTTAAGACAGGACAAAAAAAGTTTAAGCTGGATGGACATTATCATACTATCAATTAAATTTGCTTCTCTCCAGATGGCACAACATTAGCATCTGGTAGTGATGATTAATCTATTAATTTATGGGATGTTAAGACAAGAAAAAAAAAATCTAAAATCTAAGATAATATTAATTCCGTCAGAACAGTTTGCTTCTCTCCTGATAGCTTTACTCTAGCATTTGGAAGTTCTGATTACTTTATCCGCTTATGGGATGTTAAGACAGGTCAATAGAAATTTAAATTAGATGGTCATACTAGATATGTCGAATCTGTTTGTTTCTCTCCTGATGGTTCTACATTAGCATCTAGTAGCGATGATAAATCTATTCGTTTATGGGATGTTAAGACAGGACAATAAAAATTTTAATTTGATGGCCATACTAGTTTTGTGCAATCAGTTTGCTTTTCTCCTGATGGCACTTTATTAGCATCTGGTAGTAAAGATAAGTCTATTTGTTTATGGAATGTTAAGACAGGATAGCAAGACTCTAATTTCCTCGGACATACTTGTAGTGTCAATTCAATAAACTTTTCACCTAATGGCACCATTTTAGCTTCCAGCAGTGATGATAAGTCTATTCGCCTATGGGATGTCAAAGCAGGTAAATAAAAACCGACATTTGATGGTCATACTAGTGCTATATCTTCATTATGCTTTTCTCCTAATGGTACCATTATAGCATCTGGTAGTGATGATAAATCTATTCGTTTATGGGATGTTAAGACAGGACAATAAAAATGTATATTTAATGATCACACCAGCACTGTTTGGTCAGTATGCTTCTCTCCGGATGGTGCTACATTAGCATCAGGTAGTAGAGATAAGTCTATCTGCTTATGGGATGTTAAGACAGGACAATAAAAATTTAAATTTGATAGTCATACAAGTTATGTCAGGTCAGTTTGCTTTTCTCCTGATGGCACTATATTAGCATCTGGTAGTGATGATAAATCTATCCGTTTATGGGATATTAAGACAGGATAATAAAAATCTAAATTAGATTGTCATAATTATACTATAAATTCGGTTTGCTTCTCTCCAGATGGTACTACTTTAGCAGCTGGTAGTGTGGATAATTCTGTCTAATTATGGGATGTTAATACAGAAACATAAAAATCCAAATTAATAGGTCATAAACATTTTGTCGAAACAGTTTGCTTCTCTCCTGATGGTACTACATTAGCATCTGGTAGCGATGATTACTCAATTTTTTTATGGGATGTTAAGAACGGGCAATTAAAGTCTTAATTAAATGGTCATACTAGTTATGTCAGGTCAATTTGCTTCTCTCCAGATGGTACTACATTAGCATCTGGCAGTGATGATAAGACTATCCGCTTATGGGATATAAAGACAGGATAATAAAAATCTAAATTAGATGGTCATATTAGTAATGTAAGGTCAGTTTGCTACTCTCCTGATGGCAATACATTGGCGTCTGGCAGTTGGGATAATTCAATCCGATTATGGGATGTATAAAAAATGAAATCCAAGGTAAAGAGTTCTGAAGATCTTTTAGCATAATAGAAAATACCTTTTTAAGGTAATTCTTTTTCAAAAAATGGTATGAATTTAAATTTAAATAAAGTTAACTCTCATATTCCAATTCTCCTGATATCAAAATAAACAATATTTTAGGCATAAGGAGCATTAATTTTAGATGGATAATTTCTCAATTATTAAGGAATAGATTTGCGAATTTTATTTAAATAAAGAGGAAGCTCTATTTGGGAAAGCTAAATAGAATTTTAATAAAAGTAAAATTGACAATATAACAAAAATATCATACACAAAAAAATTATAATTATTTTTCACTATCTTTTACATGATATAGAATACCCCCTATAACTTTATTGAATTATAGACTTAAAAGATAATTTCATTTGGATAATTATTAAACTTTTTTTTTCCAAAATTTTTATTCATTTTTTTTTTTTATATATTAATTTTAATCCTATTTAATTATACTAGCTAAAGGTTAAAATTGAAATAAGGACTAATAATAAATGTTTTAAAATATTGGTAACAATAATTTTACATAAATAATTTATTAGAAAAATTCTAAATAAGATGGTTTAGAAATAGATTATTATTATTTTTATAATTTAAAATTGACTTAATACAAGATTAGAGATCCATAATATTTTAAGAATAAAATATCCAAAACGGTAATTTCAAAGTAATAAAAGAAAAAATAATCAAAAATATAGCTAAATAAAATCGAGATAATAATTTAGGTAATTTTTAGTAAAATCAAAATAATATGGTAAAATATTATTATTCTATA